CTGTGCCTTGCCTTCTTCCTCCTTTCCAACCCTCCCCTCATCCGTCTCCTTCCCAGGGCCCGTTTCCCCCTCCCCCTCCCTGCGGCCGCCGCCCGCCTGCTCTCCTTCTGTCTTACTCCGCCCCACCCCGAAAGAGCCCAGAGGCCCCCTCGCGCCTCCTTCCTGGCCAACCCTTGCTCCTTTCCTGCGCCAAATCCCTTCTCTGTATCCGGCCTAGGCCCCAACGGCTCCTCCCCCGCGTCCTTCTCACTGCTTGGCGCACCCACGGCGCCGCTACCCTCCTCCTGAACCCCCTCGGGCGCCGGGACGGGAGCCTCCGAGTCCAGCAGAGGCACGGGCTTTCCCGCCAAAGGAAAGGGTGTAGACGACTCCTTCCCGCGTCGCAGTCCCGGCTGCTCCGCCCGCTCCGTCTCTTGCTTTGGTTCTTTTTCCAGACGTTTCTTCTCCCGCTCGCTTTTTTGCTGGCTCTTGGTCACTGCGGGATCCTTGCTGCGGACGTATCGTTCGGGTGCGTTGGGAACCCCGTTGCCATGCAGGATGCCACCGGCTTTACCAGAGCCTTTCCGCTCCAACCCGTTTCTGAAAAAGCTGAGCGCAAGCACCGCCACGCCAACGACTTGCACGGAGCGGCGTCGCAACACGTTCCAGACGAGACGAAGCAAGCCTTTCCCTGGGGGGCCAAAGCCGTCCTCCTCTTCGGCAGGCGACGGCTGAAACTCCCTGTCAAAGCGCCAAAGACCCGCAGACAGAGAGCGGGCTCGGGCGTGCGCGATAGCCATCGTTGAGGGAAGAGGCGGGCCAGGCGAGTGTCTCGACGTGGACAAGGGCATCCGACGTAGGCGGCGTTCGTCCGACATCCCCGGTGCGTGCACGAATCCTCCCACTCCCTGAATCGCATATCTATCGCGACTTGTTACCTGCGGCCTTATTTCCAGCCTGGAATGGCCCCCTGCTGAAACTTCAGCCGTCACTAGCTTTTCGCACCCGCAAAGGATAAGTAGAAAGACGAGGACCAAGGCCATGGAGAGACGCCAAGGGCTTTTCCGCATCGTGATAATCCGATGTTGAAGAAACATTTGTATGCTCGTCGCTAACCCGGTTGTTTAAATGTCAAAAAGGACGACGTCGCTCTAACATAGCTTGCTTGTGGTGACAGGTAGGTGAAGGAAAACGTTAGGCTATTAATTACGACTTTGAAAAAGTTAAAGTAACAGGAACAGCGGCGTGCTCCTGACTCCACGATCAAGTCTCAGCAACGCAGAATGTAAGCAGCCGATGTGGTGCTTGTGTTTATCAATCTGGTCGGTGGGGATGAGAAACTCGATGGAAAGCAATGCAATGCAAGTCAAGCCTAGCGAGGAGGCAGTCGCTGAGCGACTTTAGACCCACTTGCACTTTCCTGTGAAGTCCATGGAGAGAAGCCGCGGACACGCATGGCGCAGGCACATTATGCATGCCATACCCTGGTCGACGCGTACAGGGCTTTGAGGATTGCGATTCCCGCGTGCGACGTCGTGTCTGTGCCCACTCGCTTGTCATGAGGCTGAAGCCTCTAAAGCGGCTTCCGACTGGCGCTCGCCCTCTGTTCAAAGATGCTGCCACTGACACAACGCCAGCCCCTCGTTCTCTTCGTTTGCCTCATGATGCACTACCACCTGAAATGTTCTTTCCATCCTCCTCACTTTCCGCAGGGTGGGCTGATCAAATCAATCACGCAAATTGCGCTGCCTACGCGCGCACGCCCCAGTCAAGGGCCTCCAGGAAGTGGGGCCCGGAATGCCTGACCTGAAGAACCGTCGCCTGTATCGGCTCCGGGCGCTGTCTTGGTCGTGCGCTCTCCTCCTGTTGGAAAAGGGTACATGTGCACATGGAGATGCAACGAGTGTGCGGCGGCTGGGAGGGACTCGCCTATGGTGGACATCGAGGACCGCAGCCTCGGTTGCGGCTGAAGCTGCCGCCGCCGCCTTGCCCTTTCTAGCCGCTCCAGCCAAAACGTCATTTTTGCTGCCCACAGTGGCCAGCACTGAATCCGCGAGAGCAGCAAAGACGGTGCCAGTTCCTCCATTCCGCCTGCCCCAGAAGACGTGGATGCCGTGGCCTCAGCCCTTCTCTGACATGCAGACCCCTGCCAAGGACCCAAGGCCGGGACAAGCGCTGGAGATATACTCAGCGCCACGCAATGATACAGGCCAGGCACCCTTCCAATTCCCCACTCATGCGTCCAGAGGCAAAGAGGGGAGAGAGGCCTCCGACAACGCGGGGGACGAAACCGCGGACGGCGCCCTTGCCCTGTCCCTCCTAGGGTTGGGCCTGTGGATTGCCTTGAGTGCCCTGCTCGTCATCCGCTTCGTCCAAAGCGAGAAGCGCCGGGAGATCATGCTCCGATTCTGGCGCGCGATCGACGCGAATCCTGAGCTGCGACGGGCCGTGGAGGAGGAGGCAGGAGGGGCTCCTCTTCCCCAGTACCCGCGCCGTCCAGGGCTCCACCGCTTCTTTCGGGCCTGCTGCGTGGCCTTGCTTGTGACGGTCGGCTTACACATCGTCTTTTTCGTGGGTCCGCACCCCTGTATCGGCTGGTGAGGGGAGGGCGGGAGCGAGGGGGGCGGGGGAAGGGGGGGGG